GAAGTAGCCATACCCGTCTAGTGATTTTTTTGGAAACCATTGGTTCATATTCCTTGTTCTTTCTCGATTCTTCATTTGCTTCCACGCTTACTAGTCCATGTTCAACGATGGTGCATAAAAGCTCTGCTTCAATTCCTCAATGCTCTGCTAGTATAGAAAATAGTTAATGTTCAGCTAGAGAGGCTTAGAGATAGACAAAGAGAGAGGGGGAAACTTGTGGGAAAGAGAACAATAAAATTCTTCAGAAACACAAAATTCTAGAATAAAGTAATCCAACAACACAAATTTATCTATAAGTATCTGATATGAACTCCAATGCAAGTACAGATACATGCAAAAACACACACAATTGAGGAAAAACATTTGTCACAAACATATGTATAGAAATATCATATGCATCTGCATGTACTTACATAAGTTAGTTTTTCTTTTAAGATATAAACCAAACTGCTAATTAGAAATGCTACATAGTGTCAATGGAACAAAACAATTATTTGTAATCCAAAGTTAGAAGGAACAGTAAAAATCGCAACATGTGCTCAAATAGATTTATAAGATGTTTTGGTCATACCAGGCTGCTATTAAATTAAAAATCAAAAAAGAACAATGGGATTGTCGAACCACAAATGCAAATCCTAAAGTGTAGACAAAGAAGATAACAGAAAAAAGAATTATCGAAATAACTAATCTTATCGTTTCGACGGCCAGAATTGTTCTTTTTTTATCAAAAGGCTTCACAGATCACAGTCACAAATACTTCGTGAATTTACAGTAATACCCTGCTAATAAATAAGTAAGATAGAGAAGGAAAAGAAAAATAATTAACAAAATCACTAACCATATCATGTTTCAACGCCGGAATAGTTCTTTTTTTTTTGGGCCGAAACACCGGAATAGTTCACAAAACGCATTAGTTATATATCTCGTGATTCATACAGAGCCTATCAAACAAACCACCAGAACCTATATTTAATTTTACAATACAAATTGCAATCAAAAAACAGCATGAAATTCAATTAAATCAATTTTTCAAAAAAAAAAAAAGCCAAACTAATGTCATAACTCTATTCAACCAAGAACCCATTACCAATTCCACACAGGGAAATCAAAGACTGGATCAATTCCATCAAGCAAAGAATAAAAGTTTTGTGCAATTACAAGGGTAAAAATGGTCGGGTTTATCAAAGAAGCCGCTGAGCCACAGAGATAGGAAAGGAGCAGAGAGAGGGGAGAGGGAGAGGGAGACATACCTGGGCAGCGTCGATGGCGGTGCGTGAAAGGACATCGTAGCAGTTTCGTTATGGTGAGGCAGTGATGAGACAGAGGATGCGGAGAATGATGAGAGAGAAGAGAAGAGAGGGGTGGCGAGAGAAATAGGGGAGAGCGGAAAGATATCGTAGATGTTGGTGGGTGTTGGTGAGCTGTGAGTGGCGGCCGATACGGTGAAGAGAGTTGAGGAAGAAGAGGAGAGAGGGGAATAGTGTCTGTGTTGTTGAAAAAGGTGAAGAAAGAAGAGAGAAGTGAGGGAGAGGAGAAGAGAAGAGGAGGGAAAGAGAAGAGGGGCGGGTGAAGAAAGAAGGGTGTTGGGCACAGAGAGAGAGAGAGAAACAATTGAATTGGGTGAGAGGGAGAATATTTGGGTGTGTCTAATTGAATTAGGAAAGCAGAGGAGAGAGAGAGAGAAGTATTTGGATTAGGAAAGCAGAGGAGAGAGAGAAGAATTTGAATTTGGAAAGCAGAGGAGAGAGAGAGAGAAGTATTTGGATTAGGAAAGCAGAGAAGAGAGAGAGAGAAGTATTTGGATTAGGAAAGCAGAGGAGAGAGGATCGGTAGGCAGAGGGATGTCATTATTCGGCGCGATTTAGGTCAAGGAAAAGAGTAAATTATATTTTGTATCCTTAAAAATTTAATATTTCTTATTTTGTAACTTTAAAAATTAAATTTTCATATTTTTCTTTCAATGTCTTAAAAGTTATTGTAATACAGCTCTGCTGTTAATTTTAGCCACTCATTTCATCAACTTCAATAAAATGATTTTGACGAAATAAACAATTAAAGATAACGGAAGTATCATATTAAAATATTTTTATTATATTGAAGGTACAACGTAAAAAATTTCATTTTTGAGAATATAAAATAAAAAAATTTAAATCTTTCATAATGCAATTTGAGATTCCCCCAAGTAAAATAAAAAGTTTTTGGACAAAAAAAATATTTTCAAATCAATGTAGGATTTATTTTTCTTCTATGAAGTGTGGGCTAGTTGGCAAAAGTTGCAACCCATTGGCTGTTTTTAAGGCCTAAGGTCCATGGAGATGTGTGGGAGAACGTCGACATTAAATAGTAACGAAAATTTGTATTCATGTCTACCCTTAGGCCAAATGGTATCATCTAACCTTTTTTTAAGGAAGAGTTAGGCATTCAGTCGGGTCGGATTCGAGTCGGGTAAACAATTATGGGGCCAAACCATGACTCGATTGAAGATTGAGGATTCTTTTTTTTATATTTATTTGTCGCTGAATTTATGGACTCGATTTTCTTTTGTTCCCGGAGTTTTCACATTATCTCCTAAATTATTTTACATTACACAAAATACAAACGATTGCTTTCTTTTTGATATAAATTGTTAAGTTTTGGATAAAGTAAAAAAAATCACATTTTTCAGAAACAAAAAAAGTAAAACAATTTTTTTTAAAATTTATAAGGAATGTTAATCGTTGAAACAGTGTGAAACTAATCACATGATTAAGTGTATGGTGTAAAATAAATGATATTTAAGGGACAATATTTAAAAAGAGTCATAGTAAAGGGGACAAAAATATAATTTACCCTTGTTATAATCACACATTGTTTATAATTTATCCCAGTTCATCACAGTAAAGTTGACATCTAAATTTCAACATTAAACTAGAGAGGGCACATTACAATTTTTGAAATTTGGAGGGTAACCTCCTCAAATCGGTGCAAATAATGAGGTCATTATTGTAATTATCTCCTCCTTCTCAGGGTTGGCCCCATATATAATCCACTCAACCATCTAATTCTAGGGTTTGTGAGCCAAAGAACAAAAAGGGGTGTTTGGATGGGCGGATAAAGGTGGAAACACAATATTGGATTGGATAAATAAGTTATGGGCCCCATTTATCCCTACTTTAGCAATGCATTTTGACGCTGCATATGCGTAGCTTTTCAAAAACTACGGTAGTAGTAATTCAGCCCAATGTTATTAAAATCGGACCAGTCATCGAACCAGTAAGGCGACCAGATCAATGGTTCACTGGTTTAACCGTTGAGTCAACTAGTCGGACCGGTCATATAATAAAAAATTAAAAAATATATATAATAATTATAAAACATAATAATTTAGCTAAAAAATATTAAAAAAATGTCTAAAATGCATACAATTTGCCATAAAATTTATGAAGTTAAGTAAAAGAAACACATCTGTCAAATATCAAAATCAAAGTTCAACTTTAAAGCTCTAATCCAAGGACAGAACAGAACAATCACTCCAAGTTCAAACCCCAAACCACAATCTCTACTAAATTTAAAAGTTTATATAAGAACAGACCCACTTTGTCTGAGTTCACTTACCTAATTTCAACAATTTTCAGACTCAGGATACCAAACCCAATAACTATGAAATATACTAGAGGGAAGAGAGAGAGAAGAACCTTTAGGTTTTATAGCGATAAAGAAAAATGGGGGGCAAATAAGTCAAAAACCATTCTCTCAATCTTGAAGCAACAACGCAACACCACCTTAAGCAACAGCAGCAGCATCACCTTAACCATTCTCCATGAAGGAAGGATTGAAACCCCCCACAAACATTATCATTGCTACCAAAACCTTCAATTGGGCAGTAGAGTTCAATGTTGCAGGGACTAATAGCATTTGAAAATTAGACATGAAATCTAAACCCAAGATTATTTGGGTCCAATCCAAATCTATTAATACCAGATAAATCATCTCGTTCATTCCCAATATGCATTTTACAAAGATTTTTCGACAAACCCAGTTCATCCAACCTATTTTCCTGCTCATCGGAGTTCTTGAAAACCAAAGAGTCCAAGTATATAGTACTTGGTGTTTGATACATAGTCTCATGAAACGGGGTTACAAATGGTGATGAAACGCCACTAGAAGTACCAAACCCACCAAAGAAATAATCTAAACAAATAGGTGAAAGTTTCTCTCAATGGGACCTATCTCTACCTTAGTAGAAGCAACAGCAACAGCACCACCTTAAGCAAATCGCCGCGTAAAGCTCTTTAATGGGTTTTTGTAATTTGAGGAGAGAGAGAGGGTGGAGGGGTTTAGGAAGAAAGGAGATAGAGGGGGTGGAGGGCTCGTTGGTCGCGGGAGAGTGGGGTGGTGCTTCTACGATTTTGGGCAAAAGAAATGGCCCAAATAAATGGGATTTAAGTCATTTGTCTTCAAACCGTCCGATTTTTATAAAAACCGTCGGTTCACGGTTTTTTATAAAAATCGACCAGTTTTTTTATTTTTAGCCGGCTCTTTTCCTTATGCAGTCTGATTAGAGAACTGGACCGATTAAGGCCTCAAGTCACGGTTGGACTGGTCCGATTCGATTCTGATAACACTGATTCAACCCCTTTATCCCCTCTCATATGGACAAAGAAATCCCACCAAAACTTTGGGATTCATTTTCAGCCGACAGGATACAAATCCTATTTTATCATTTCACCCCTGCCCAGCACAAAAGTTAGGGTTTTTTAACCTCTTCTCCCCCTTTTGCACTAGTCCCAAACGAAGAACGACGCGAACTCCTCCCATTGGCAAGGTATATATATATATATATATATATATATATATATATACACGTAGACATATATATTTTTGGTGTATTGGTGGACTTGTGTTTGAGGTGGTTGGGCCGGTGAATTACGACGGTGCAATTGTGGTCTCTTTTCCAGCGAGTAGAAGTACTTGTGAGAACAGATGTTTGAGTAATTGTTCATGTATTGGTTTATATCACCATGGAAGTACTAATCTTTGTAAGAATTTATTTGGGTCTGTCTTAAATCTTCCAAATCTCACTTCTGATAACACAATTCAGGATGATTTATACTTACAGGTACTAAAGGGGAGTATCACAGAGAAGAACAAAGAGAAAACCTGGGTTTTGATTGGTACAATTTGTGGGTTTTTAGTGGTGTTGATGTTGGTGGTTGCAATTTTATTGGGTTGGAGGAAGATGTGGATCAAGAAGAGGAAAAGAGAAGAAGAGGAAGGTGTGTTTTCGGTGACGAGGCTTGAAAGACCTGGTGGTGATGAGAGATAGTTTAGAGCAGAGGTGTGCACAATTAGGAACATTCAACATGTTAATCTTGTAAGATTAAGAGGGTTTTGTTCTGAGAATTCTCACAGACTTCTTGTTAATGATTACATGCCTTGTGGTCCTTTGAGTGTGTATTTGAAGAAGGATGATCAGAGTTTAAGTTGGGATGCTAAATTTCAGGTTGCAATGGGGACTGCCAGAGGCATTGCCTATTTTCATGAGGAGTATAGAAATTGTATCATACAAAGTGGTAACCAACGTTGATCAATTAATATGGTCAATTGTCAAGCCAAAAAGGAGATAGGATTGGATAGGATTCAAGAGTAAAATGGTCAATTAATATCAAGGTATTAGATGTTTAATAAAAAAATGTAGTTTGTCCATATCCCAACCACAACATAATGCACTATCCAAAACAGAGATTGGATAACACAAATTACTTTTATTCCCCTACAAATCCGGCCCATTGGGATTTCACTAGACTAATTTGGGATTTAAATCCAAGCCAGTCTAGTCCATCCAAGAATTGCCAAACACCCCCGAAGAGGATACAAGCTCTGTAATTGTACCTCGGCGCCTCCTCCTCCTCGGCTCTCTCCTTCTCTCTTTCTCTTTGTGGAAAGTGCTCGCATCTCTCTTTACAAATCATACGATGCAATCCGACGAATGTGCCACCTCCATGGAACTTGAAAAAGTTCCATCTGAATCAAACCGTGTATCTTTTGCTTCAAAACCAAATTGTGCACCCTTGAAGGCTCACAAGATATTCGACGGTCAAGTTCCATTCAGGAAAGTCTCTGTACCACTGCATCGATATACGCCTCTCAAGAAAGCGTGGTTGGAAATTTACACTCCTATATACGAGCAGATGAAAATCGACATTCGTGTGAATCTCAAGGCTCGCAAGGTTGAATTGAAGACCAGATCAGACACACCCGACATCAGTAACCTCCAAAATGTGCTGATTTTGTGCACGCTTTCATGCTTGGATTCGACGTGATTGATGCCGTTGCACTTCTCCGCATGGACAAACTCTATGTGGAGTCTTTTGAGATCAAAGATGTGAAAACCCTTCGAGGCGAGCACTTTGTCTCGTGCCATTGGAAGATTATCTGGTAAAGGGGGTAAAACTTTGCAATTGAGAACTCTACGAAGACTCGGATTGTGAATGCAGACACCAAAATACATATACTGGGTTCTTTTGCCAACAACAAAATTGCAAGAGATTCTCTCTGTAGCCTTATCATAGGGTCCCCTGTTGGCAAGGTTTATTCGAAACTTAGAGCAGTTTCTGCCAGATTGGCAGAGAGATTTTGACAATGTTGAGCATTATACTATTTGATTGTACCTTGAGCTAAATTTTCAGCTGAAAAATACTATTTTAAGAAGGTAAAATTGCAGTGGTTATGCTTGTTCTCATGTGTTTGTCCAGTGAATGGTCTAATTTGTAGTTTGAAACTTGCCTATAAGGCAAGACTAATGCCATGCTTATCAAAATATTTATCAAAAGATATTTTTACTAAATGAGTTCACACCTCCATCTCACTCTTGAACCCCACCGACTCATTTGGAAAAAGTACTTTTTTGTATGAACGACATTTTTCATATGGCAATTATAGGTGCCTGCTGGATTTTTGCTTGTAACTCCTTGCTAATTACTCTTTCACAAGGGTGGGATCTCTGAAAGCTAGACGTTAGTTTCATAATTTGTTATGCCACTTGATTGGAATGCTCTTGAGACTATTTGTTTTCAACTTAGGCATCTATTACTTGGAAGCAAGGTACTGATTGTCCTTAGATTGGTTTCTTATTAAAAAAAACAAAAAGAAAATTTACTGCTAGTCCTAGAATTTGCATAGTATGGGGGTAAACCAATAGTCCACCTTTTTCTATGAAAGAGATTCCCAAATTGAGACATGATTTAAAAAGAAAAAAAAAACAAGTATCCATTAAAAAGGGGAAAAAAAGAAGGGAAAATAGAAGAAAAGAAGGTCCTAGACTTTGATGAGTCAAGTAGAGTGAACATGTTCAAATGGCATTATTGAATCCATCAAACTAGAACCCTGTATACAAGTTTACCAAAGGCGTTCCAATGTCTATAGCATAAAGCATCAATCTTGGTCAGGTAAAGCCTCAACTACAGAATTTATGTCATTTCCAATATGCTAGATAATTTCAAAAAGTAGGCACTCTAGGGCCATATAAACCTACTCTCTAAACCCAAAAAGCAAAGAGCTTTTGTAGTTGTACTAAGTTGACAAACCAAAAAGATGATATATTTGCCAAACTCACACACCTAGATGAAGCAATTAATTCAAAACAAGCACTAAAAAGATGATAAGTTTTCATCAAATTCAATTTGGATTTTATCTCAATCTTTTCACAGGTGATCGTGCTTAGTTTCAAATTAAAAAGCCCAGATTTGTGTGTTGGACTTTGATTAAATATCAGGCCAAGGTCTCAACTTTACTTTCTTTTTTGTTTCATACGTTCTTGATATGGATTTAACATAACTATGTTAACTAATGGATATTCTCTATATAAAAATTGAGTTAAATACTCTTATAAATCTAATGCTTTGTCTTGACCAAAAAATAAAAAAAAAATCTAATGTTTTGTGAGAGTTTGGAATGAATTTCAATTTGCATTTGGCTGGTATTTGATTTTTGTGACTAATATAATATCCTCTTCTCTTTTATTCAATTTTGTACATCTATCCATCTTCTAGATCCAATATTAGATATCATTTTTTTTAGTCTTGATTCTATGAAATGTATCACTATTTTTTAATTTTAAATATTATGATGTACCAAATATTCTAAAACATATTGGATTGAATAGTTGAAGGTAGTTTTAGGTGGTTTGATTGATTGACTATATTTTGTGTTATATACTGTCTTCAAGGTTGCTTGTAATTTTTTTGTTTGTTAAATAGTGTCTTCAGACACAAAAAATTACTAATTTATATAATAAAAGAGAACAAGTTTTGAATTCAAAGACAAAAAAATGATTAAGATCGTTTCATGATAAATAAAAATATCATCCGACATACGATACTATCTCGGTTTGTCTCAAACTATTAGGGCTTGTTTGGTATGTGGGACAAGGGGGGATTTGGAAGATGGATTGAGGAATAAAAGTCCACAAAATCCAACAAACCCATAAATCTATTTTTTTCTTAAAAAATCATAATTAGTATATAATTATACTATCTATTGAAATAAAACTAAAAAAATAAACAAGAGGTCAAACTATAATGAACACAATATTCTTTAGCTTGGGATAATTTGGTCGTTTAACAACCAAATGGTCTAAGTAGCTCTAACTCTATTTGCTCGATGCGTCTTTATGTATCAGCTACTAGTAGGCTTTGCCCCAAGAGTCGTAGACTGGGAACCCAAAGGTGAAGGCAACATGCAACGAATGGAGCATTCAGAGAGGTGTCAGTTCACATTCATTCGGCCGAACAACACGAGCTATTGAGTTGGATAAGCTTGTCAAACTATAATTAACATAATATATTTTAGTTTTGATTGGGATAATTTAGTCGTTTAAATGACTAAATTAAATTTCAATAGATAGTATGATTATATACTAATTATGAATTTTTTTTAAAACAGATTTTAATTTTTAATTTTAATTCAATAAATTTAATAATAGAATATGAATTTTGGTTGTAAAATTTAAAATATTTGATATTCTATTTTTGATTGAAGTATTTTTGATCTAAGTATAACATTTTAAATTTGAGGGGTCTAAGTATTACACTCTATAAACTTTAAGGGTTATGGATGTAATTTATTAACAAACTTATTAACGGACATTGACGGCATGGGTCTAAGTGTAACACGCATACAAACCTCAGGGCATTTGTGTGTAATATTTTAAATATCAGAAGATCTGAGTGATTAAATGACAAATCTCGGGGAGTCTGAATATAATTCTCCCAAAATTTTAATGAGTTCTCAATCTTTGTTAACAACAACATTGGGTTATTTTTTAGGACTAATCTTAACTTGTATAAAATTACTTGAATCTCAATTTTTGCCCTCAAAGTTTAAAAATATCAATTTATACCTTAAAAGACATAAATTCGTATTATTTTGCACCTCAGATTGACTGTCATTCATTTTGTCGTTAAAAAAGTTTGGACTAATTATAAATTCCAGCCTTAAAGTTCAAGATTTTCATATTTATTATCCAAAAAGTATTTCTTTCTTTGATGCTCGTTAATTAACTCTCAATTGTATCATGTCATAACATTTTTGTGTGATGTTCGAATCAATAAAAAAATATTTTAAAATTTAAAAAATTATAATATACTTATTTTTTGCTTATTATATTTGTTAAATAACTATTTTATGTCTACAATTAGACACAAATTTTTTGACTGTTTGATCAAATTAAAGTTCGATATGAATAACACAACTGTAGACAAAAAATAACTATTCAATGAACATTGTAGGTAAAAAATAAGTATTTTTATAATTTAAAAAAAATATTAAATAGTATTATATAAATTGTCGTAAATGTGAAATATACGACATAACGCATTTGACTCAACACAAAAATATTTTGTGTTAAAAACATTTTTTTACCGACTTGAACACAACAGGAAAATGATATGACATGACACAAAATAACATGATACGACACAATTAAGAAGTATTTAACAGGTATTAATGGATAGAATTCGAAATTCAACTATTTTATATATAAATAAGTCGAATATGTGACCACAAGCACTAAAACATCCAAAAACTCACATCACTTAATTCATGTGTCCGATAATAATAAGTGTGACGTTCTCAAGAGCTCCACCTATTTACCAAAGTAGAAAATATGTATAAAAATCCATACTTCGATACCTCTAGACACGAAAAATGGTTGAGATTTGTGAGAATGATTGGCGCGAACAGTCCCATTGCTCTCGTTGAACGTTTCCAGCTATTGCATCACAGCACTGCGAAGACTGGAGACTATTTTTAGTGCTTCACTCCTCTTTGTCGTCATGCCAATCCAATTTCAAGATCAACAGCTATTAGACCATCTCAAACACAAAAATAATCTATAATAAGAACAATAAAAATATTTAGAGTATATCAACGGAGTCCAAATTGACAAAGCTAGGTCATTTGATATGAAATACAGATTAGAATATAAAAGAAATAATAAAAAATTTACACAGTAAAAACATGAATAGAAAATTTAGAGTAGATCAATGGGTATTTAGATTAGATCAACGAAGTACAACTCATACAAATTTGTATACACATGAATAGAAAATTTACCCAATAAAATTACCTAAGAATATCACGTGAATCAATCTTAGACAACATTATAAGTAAGGGGTGTGCACATACATTTAAATATACATGAATACAAAATCTACACAACCAACTTAATCTAAGAGTTAGATTAAATATACTTGTAGTCATATGACAATCCATTAAATAAATAACCGCACCACCAACACTACGTTCTGCATTTCTAACTTTAAACCCATGACCATCAATTCCCTTTAAGCTTGTGTCTTTCTTCACAAAGGAAACATTAGACACACAAACATATATGTATTCATTGTTGTGAGACTTTTCATCAAACAATTGATGTGCCTCCAACTCCCAATAAATTAATTCCTAAATTGACACAATGGCAACACATTAATAGCCAAATTGCAATCAGTCAAGTTTATTCAAGTAGACCAAAATTAATCAAATAAGCAATGCAAGAGCAACTCATTATACAACTATAACCAAATTTCAACCAACAATGCAACTCCCAATAAATTAATTCCTAAAACACAATGACAATGCATTAATAGCCCAATTTCAACTAACACTTCAATTCATAGTGTGTGTGTGACTGAGGAGTGGTTGCATGTGTGAATGCGTGCAGACAGTGTGAGTGTGTGTGATCACTGTGGGTTTGGGTGCGCTGTTTATGTATGAGAAGAGTAGGAGGGAGGGAGTCGCACTATGGGAGTGGGTGTGGGTGTGG